CGGATAACACCGTTCCATTCTAAATGGGAATGACATGTATTAATAATGTTTTAATTAAAGATTCTGAACTTTAATTAAATTCATTATGAACATTACTTTTTGATTATTATCCTTAAACATTATCCTCTCGTATATAACACTTATATACAGTGTTTAAGGTTACATAAATAATCATGGAATTTTCATTGATATTCACAAAATATTCATAAATATATGCACATAAAATAATGAATAAACTATTTTATTAAATAAATAATAAATATCCTATTACATCTCATGCTTCTAGGACACCATTCCCAACAGAGCTCTCCCGTGGCCACTCAGAAAGTACCACCCGTCACACTTGGCGACATGGCACAGCTTGTACATGAATCGAAACTCATCCAATGGGAGTTCCATGTCAAACTTCTGGTGCCATAGAATCCAGGCTCCTGCAAAACAGTATCAGAAGTTCAGCGCCAGTTGGGCGGGGGAGATGCCATAAAAATGGCAGTAATCTTTTACGAAGGGATGAACTGGGAGTGTCATCCCCGCGGTTACCGCTCTTGTATGGACCGGAAGGTATCCGGTCGGCGGCATGCTAGTTCTAAAATGCATGTCCGGAAGGAGGTACTCGAACCACCTCCCGTCGATGCATCCCTCCTTCACAGCCCGAATGATATCTTTATTTCGGACCCTCGACGCCACACCATCGGCCGTGAAGGAAGGCCTATCTGGGTCGCCGCTCGTGGCAGCCAGTGGGGCATCCACCATCGCGGTAGCTACCCCACTTACGCTGCCCCCGGTAAAGGGGATTCGCTCGACTACCTCGTCTACCAACCGGTCGACGCTTCCGAATTCGCTTCCGAAGTCGTCGCCCGGCTCGTAACCTCCCTCGACGTCTTCAATATCCCTAAGCACAAAGCTGACACCGGAGGATGAAGAAGTCCATGAGATCTCCACCACCGGAGGGGGGTCATAACGGACGACAGAAGAAGAATCCTCTCGACTGGGTGAACTTTGGGCCATTGTTCTGGTAATTAAAAGGACAAGAAGCTAAGTTAAAACCCTAACGTCGAGAGGAAGAAACGACGACTACTCTAAACGATGACTGCTCAAACACCTCGACTTGACGTCGACCATTCATATGAGAACGGTAACGACAAGTGTTCATAGGAATCACGGGTTCCCCGGAACCCAGAAACCAAAGGCACACAGACAATAAAAAATGCATAGAGACCAGGTCATCCAGTGCGACAGAATACAACGAAGTAAGTCTCCTTAACTTTTATATTCTCATTTTGTGCACAAAAATTTATATATTCCAGGTACACAACGGGGGGAGCCCCGTGAGTACGCACAGCAAGAGAAGATCCAGAAACTTACCGGTGAAGAAGGATTTTCGGGACGGCTTCGTAATATACCACGGAGGTTAAGAATGGTAAAGTCGAAAGTTCAACAAAGGAGGTTCTAGCTAAATGCAGTGGTTCAATGGGAACGCGACAAAAGTTCAAAGTTTTGGAGAAGGAAAAAATGGCTCTCGGGTTCATGAAGAGTATTTTAAAAGAACGGCGCCCTCGACCCCCCAACCGCTGGATGAAAACTTCAAAAATCCTACGGCAAGGGATCACTGTCCGGATCTAACGGTAATGAAGAAGGGCGGGAAACCGAGAGGATGTAAATCTGATGGTCTGTATTTGTCTTCTCGGAACACGGATATACATCATTATGGCAGGCCAATCGACGCGACTGTTGCGTCTCCGAAGCACCCAGGTCATCATTGCGGATGAAGGCTCGGGACCGGTTTCCCACACTCGAAGCACGAAAGGACAACCGAACCTGGAGCTCGAGGCCACCCAAAAAAAAAGGGGAGCCCTCGACCTAGGGGGTAGCTGTTGTGTGGGAAAATGTGATGGACACCTGGATCAACGACACCACGACACGTGGCCATAACTGCTCTCCGCCAAACACACAACCCTCGGTGCCTACATTTTGTTCCTAATTAGCTGCAAAGCCCAGAATTAAAGTCCAGATTATGACGACGACCCCTTGTGGCGCCGACGAATAGTGCCGCTTGAATTAAGGTATGGATATTCCTCGGCTACAGAAAGGACCGCCGGAGAGGACGACTGGGCTAAATGGCGCTGGCGATGAGGGGAATGTTCCTTTGAGACACGACGGGTTGCGTGCATAAGTGGAAGACGTCTGTCAGCATTAATTACAAATTCTCAAACCGCCCCACAGGGGACAGAAAAGCATTACGGAGAATTACAGAGCCGTAATAGAAGACTAATTGGCTGAGTGAACAGTGCTGATTAGTGGGCTACATCTGGGCCTACCAAGGTAGAACACTTGAGTGTTTCCACCGATCAAAGAAAACCACTAGGTGAAGGAAGCCCAGTATAAGAGTATGAAGACCCCCACCGAGAGAGGGGCCAGAGAATAAAAACACATGAGGAAAAGGGAGAGTGATAACTTGTAAATTGTGGCTCTCTCAAAAGAAATACAAAACTTACAGTGGATGTAGATCTAATTTTACAGAGTGAACCACTACAAAATTCCTTTTGTTTGTTTACATACAACTCATTTAACAAACAAATACTCACATTCAGCAAGTATCTACTCTTTCACTAAACACATAGGTCGGTAACACGAAGGGAAACCTCAAGGTAACACGGCCGGTTTTTTGTTGACGAAAAACAATCGTCAACAAAAACGTTTTTTACTTTATTCTTAAAAACTCAACAAAAACTGAAAACGATTTATTCTTAAAAACTCAACAAAACTGAAAATGATTGAAAATCGTTTTCAGTTTTCCATTTTCATTTTCTTAAAAACTCAATCAAAAAATTAACCAAATTCCTCTGCCTCCCCCCACAATCTTCTCCGACAATCCGTCTCCGTTGATTGATGAGATAAGGATATGGGTTGATTGTTTATTTAATATATTTATTTAATATATTATTAGTTTAAATATTATTACATGTTTTTAAAAATTAAACTACCAAACGCAATTTTAGTTTTTTTAAAATTAAAAACAATCTCAGAATAAAATTACTAAATACATCTTTAGAAATGATTTCAAAATGAAAATAAAAACGTTTTTGTTTTCATTTTCATATAAAAAACAAAAACGTTTTGGAACCAATTCAAAACGCACCCAATATGCTCTTTGAATGTACATTTTTTTTTTTGGATAAGAGAAATTTAGTGCCTATTTGGAACAATTTCAAAAACATTTTTCACGTTTTCTGATAACTAAAAAATGAAAAAATTCTGAAGATCGAGTTTGGCACCGCATCTTACGAAAAGCAAAAATAAAACGTTTTCTTCTTTCATTCAAAAATTTAGACATTCTGAAAACGATAATCGTTTTTCTTTTCCCGTTTTCCTTTTCTCCGTTAAACGCGACCAAATTCTGCGAAGACATTGAAGGTGTAAACGATAATCATATACGGCGTAAGCTCGTCGATTTTACGGGCTCTGGCGTATTTTCTCATGATGACGGATAAGGTCTCGACATTAAGAGTGTCGTTGGATCTAATAGTGCTCACCAGGTCCCACATGAGCTAGTACTGTCAGATGTTGGCTAGGGATTCGATCGCCGCGTGGGGGGCCCGGACGGAGTGGGAGTAGCCGCGCTGCTTGGCGGTCCACTGGAAGAGCAGGCCGGCGTTCTGGAAGTGAGCGAGGACGTGCTCGGCGATCTCTGGCGTGACCACGGCGCCGGTGTGGTTGAGGGCGGCTACTGGGGTGGAGGACATGATTTTGCATATTGTTTGGATTGGGTTTCGGGTTTCGCGCTTTGGTTTTGTGGAGCTGTGTTGTTTTAGCAGAGATGAGTTTCTGCATATTGTTTGGACTTTGGTTCTGTGGGGCATTGCTTGTCGAGGAATTTCAGAAATGAGAGATATATATATATATATATATATATAGAATCGCCTGCTTCAGAGCCGAGGCGATTAGAAATTAGGGAGTAGGGAGTGTGGCCTTGAACAGTTGAAATGAAGGAAAAGAAAGCCTTATATAGTATTTAAAATACTATTGCATATTTTTTAAAATATAAAATTAAACAGAGTTTCAATTTTTTTTATAATAAAGATAATATCTGAAAAAAATTATTAAACACTTGATTGAGATTAAAAATATCTTCATTTTAATTTTATATACAAAATAAAATTATTTTAAAACGGATTTTAAATAAGCCATTAGTGTTACATTTAGTTTTTTAGAGGATCTTGCCCTCTTGCATTCAACAAAATTACCGTGACAAAACTAAAGGCGGCATTTTTACGTCATTAAAGCGGCGGCTTGTATTGGAAATTAATGAGAGAATTAATAAACGTTTGATTCATATATTTAGAATTATGATTCAAAATTATTTTTACTTCACATGTAGTTTTTATAAAAAAAAAATACTGTAATAAGTCATGAATTATGATTCGAATCATAACACGAATTTTCATACCAAACACTGCCTTATTAGAGTAACTTTGCAAAATATATTTTTTTAGAGAAAATAATTTTTAATTTCTCTAAAAAATGTTTTTCCGTAAATTTTGACAATCTACTAGATAAAAGCTAGTCGAACCAATCTTTGTGTTCATAAGTATTATTGGAAATAACAGGAGTTTTTTTTTTTTTTGTTTTTTTTGTTTTTTTTTTTCGGTTTCTTGAGATGAATTCAAATAACGGACTTTACATTTTTTCAAAAAATAAAATAAACAAATCCCGGAGCTGGTCAGCAGACTGACTCAGAAGCCAGTAAAATTCCTCGCCGGTCACCTCCGAACCCTAATCCTTTCGTTTCAAGTTATTCTTTTTCTCCGGCGACGAAAACGATGAATACTCCGACGAATCTCAGCCTTAAAAATAAAAACCCACGGCCTTGCTTCTAGTGTTTCTTTTGGGATGGACTCGTCAAACTTGTTTCAGTTCAGCCCATTCATGAGGGAACCTCGTGAGGCCCAACTCAAGCGTTTGCCCTAACAAGGGCCTGTCTTGGCCCATAAGGTCCGGCCCATTTCACAAGTCACCGATTCGGTTTTGAAGGAAGTGTGAGACCAAAAAGGCAAGAAACGGAGTACTGACAAGACGAAATAAGAATCACCATTTTCAGGTTTCAGGGTTTCTCAAAGGTTTTTGGTTCGAGAACTGAAAGTGGCGCTGTGGTGCTGAGAATCAGAGAGATGCAGAGGGTAAAAGCTTTGGCAAGAGCGGGAAAATGCTGGTCTCAGAGTCTCACCTCTCTTTCCCGAGGCTTTTCTGCCCAGCCAAACTATGCCCAAAACTACGATCTTCAAAACCTGGTCTTTCTTTCTCTTCATCTTCATCTCTGCAATTATTCCATTTCTAAGTAATTCACTTTTTTGTTTTTAGTTGTTCTTTTCCTCATTACTTGTATTGTTTGCTTGTTTAAAATGTAATTCAGGTTTTGGTTGAAGGAAGAGCTAAATCGAGAGCAGCCATACTCAATAGGCCGTCTTCTCTGAATGCTCTCAATACAGCAATGGTTCGTTTCTTTCTCATGTAATCAATGAAATCAGTTTGTTTTGTTTGCAATTTTCGATTTGTTAAATTGAAGTTGCTTTTGGTTTATAGGCAGCTCGGCTGACGAGACTGTATGAATCGTGGGAAGAAAACCCAGATATTGGTTTTGTCTTGATGAAGGTATTTGTGGAGGAACTAAGTTATACTTCTTATTAAAATAGCAAACAAGAACAAAATTGCCTGCTTAATTTGAAATAATTGATTGTAGTTTTGAATATTTGGTTGCCTTTGGTGCCTGAGCTGGTGTGTATTGATTCTTTTAAAAGGGTAGTGGCAGGGCTTTTTGTTCCGGTGGAGATGCTGTTTCACTATATCATCTACTTAATGAAGGTGGGTTTTGCTTCAACTATGGGTTTTTTTTTTTTTTTTTTTTTTTTTTTTTTTTTTTTTTTTCCCTTTTTTATCTTGTTTTACTAACTAGATTCAGCATTTCAGTGCTGTTTTTAATATCTTTGAAAATGATAATAACTTGCAGGGGACATTGAGGAATGTAAAATGTTCTTCGAGACATTGTATAAATTTGTCTATCTCCAGGGAACATATTTAAAGCCACATGTGAGTGTTTATACTTTTCGAGATGTTATCCTTCATTTGTGCGTAAACATTATGGTGAGATAATTTAGATCCTGAGATTATGTCTTTGTTATAGTTATTAATTCTGTTAAGGGTCCTATAGTGGTCAAGGGTGGTTTAGTCTTTTTGTTATTTGTTATTTAGTCTTTTCCTTTTCTTTCCTTGTTACAGATTCGCCCGAGAGGGGGTGAAGTCCCAATTGTTGCTATTTCTGTTTTCCATTCCGCATCCCTAGAAATGGTTATAACCGAATTAGGATTCCAATTTGGAAAGGAGAGTCTGTCAGCCTATAAAGGCTTGTAAGAAGATCTGATGGGTTATGCAATACCAATTTCATTCTCTTTGAGATTTCTCTGTTACTTTGTATCCATCTTGCGCCTTTTCTTCTGTCAACATAGCTAGGAACCGGTGAGGCTGTGGTCGAGGAGTCGCGGAGGCAGGGGTCGATAACAACCTGGTATCAGAGCCGGACATGGCCGACGACCAACGTTTCCAGCGCCTTGAGCAGCAGGTCGCCTCTCTTAGCATGGGGCAAGAGAAGATGTTGAAGCAGATGACCAATTTCTTCCAGATGATGCACGTTCGGGATGAGGCTTATGCGTCCAATCAGTGGGAGGCCCAACCGAGAACCGTCGGGGAGATGTCAATGGGAGTGGTTCAGGCAAAACCGGTGAGATTAGACTTTCCACGGTATGATGGACAAGATGATCCCACGATTTGGTTGTGCTGGGCGGAACAATATTTCGAGTTTCAGGGCACGGTGAAAACTGAGTAGGTGCGGATAGCTTCATATCACCTAGAGGGGGACGCTCAGATCTGGATCCAGAGGAAGAAGGCGCTCAAGGAACAGTTAAGCTGGGAGGAGTTCAAATCGGAGTTGATGTTACGCTTTGGTACAGCCCCATACGAAGATGGGTTTGGCAAGCTGTGTAAACTCAGACTTCAACAGTGAGGGATTATCAAAGCCGATTTGAGCGGCTGCTGGGCAAGGCTAGGGCATTGACGGACAAACAGGAGACAACCTGTTTCATCAGTGGGCTCAAGGAACACCTGCGGGCTGACGTGCGGGGCCAAAACCCAACTACACATTCCTCTGCCATTTCCTTGGCCCGAATCATGAGGGAAAGAAATGGGCTAATGACTACAAGCCCAACCCATTTTCCAGGGGTAGCCCTAACCTAAATACTCGGAATTCTAAGGGGGAGAGCAAGGCGCACTCTAAACCGGAGGTCCCAATTCGGCAGTTTACTCCAATGGAACTTCAGAAGAGAAGAGAACAAGGGCTTTGTTTCCACTGTGACGAGCGCTACCACCTTCAATCACGTATGCAAACGACTGTTTTGGATTGAGATTGAAGAGGAGGGTCTGGGCGAGCCAATGGTCGAAGAAAATTTAGAGGAAGACTCAGGGGAGAAGCCGGAGATATTCCTGAATTCCTTGGTGGGAATGTCAACCCCGCAGACTATGCGAGTTGCCGCTAGGATTGGGAAAATTCCCATCACGGTCCTCATCGACTCAGGGTCGACCCACAACTTCGTACGCGGGCCTTTGGCGAGAATGGCGGGACTCCACGTCGAGGAAAATTCATCCTTGCGGGTCGTGGTGGCAAATAGAGAGGTAACACTTAACTTACAAAACTCTCAGTTCTTAATTGATTTTTACTTAATTGAGCTAAAAGGGTGTGATGCGGTATTGGGGGCTCAATGGCTGAGGATTTTGGGACCTATAGTGTGGAATTTTGGTATTATGGAGTTGGGATTTACGGTGGATGGATTGGAGATACTGCTGGATGGACTAGGACAAGCCGAAGCCAAACAGGTGGGGGTGAGGACGATGAACAAGACCTTGAAGAAAAGTATAGGGACAGGGATGCTGTTGTAGATCAGATTAATGGAGGAAACGGGGGAGGATGGAAAGGATGGGGAGGAATGGGAGCCTTGGGTCAAGAGATACCTGACGGTGTTTGGGGAACTTTGGAGATTGCCCCCACGAAGAAGGCAAGACCATCGAATTTCATTGCTTCTGGGAAGTGGACCCGTGAGCTATCCTCACTACCAGAAGCATGAGATTGAGAGAATGGTGGAGGACATGCTCAAACAGAAAATAATTCAGGTGAGTTGAAGCCCATAGTCATCCCCTGTGTTGTTGGTCAAGAAGCATGATGGGACTTGGCGTTTTTGTGTAGACTATAGGGGATTGAATAAAATCACCGTGAGGGATAGGTTTCCCATTCCCGTGATAGAAGAACTACTAGACGAGCTTAATGGGGCGAGAGTATTCACAAAGCTACACTTACGATCCAGGTACCATCAAATCCGAATGGCGGAGACCGATGTGGAGAAAACGGCTTTCCGTACCCACCACGGCCATTATGAGTTCATGGTCATGCCGTTCGGTCTAACGAACGCTCTTTCGACATTTCAGAGTCTCATGAATGAAGTGTTCAAAAGAGGTGTTGAGGAAGTACGTCTTAGTGTTCTTTGACGATATATTAGTCTATAGCCCGAGCATGGAAGAGCATCGGCACCACTTGGAGATGGTATTTGAGATTTTGGAGAAAAATCAACTAGTCGGCAAGAAGGAGAAGTGCTCTTTGGTAAAGAGTGAAGTTCATTATCTTGGTCACATTATATGTGTAGGGGGAGTAAAGGCCGACCCTATGAAGATAGAGGCAATGAAAACGTGGCCCCAACCCAAGAATGTGAAGGAATTGCGGGGATTCTTGGGGCTAACCGGGTATTACCGCAAATTCATTGCGGGTTATGGGCAGATAGCTAGACCTCTGACGGAATTACTCAAGAAAGGGGCTTACAGTTAGGGAGGCGAAGCGAATGCGGCATTTGAGAGGTTGAAGAGGGCTATGACCGAAGCACCTGTGTTGGCCCTACCTGATTTTGACCAAGAGTTTGTGGTGGAGTGCGATGCATCTAAGTATGGGGTGGGGGCTGTTCTAATGCAGAGAGAGCGACCCCTTGCCTTTTTCAGCACTGCACTCAAAGGAAAAAACATATTCCTCTCAGCCTATGAAAAAGAGCTAATGGCTTTAGCACTGGCTGTACAACATTGGAGGCATTATTTGCTTGGTCGGTGTTTCAAAGTCCGAACGGACCACAAGAGCCTCAAGTTTTTGTTAGAACAACAAGTCACCCCGGAAATGCAGCAAAGATGGATTATCAGACTGATGGGATATGATTTTACTATAGAGTTCAAGCAGGGGAGGCACAACCTAGTGGCGGATGGGCTGTCACGTAAGGGAGAGACGGCTATGGTATGTGTAATAACACTTCCTAGTCCAAGTTGGTGGGATTCGGTCGTGGAGCTCAATGAGACAAGTGCAAAGGTCAAGGACTTGAGGTTGAGAGCCGAGCGTGGGGAATTGGGGACACCTTAGTCGGTTAAGAGGGGAGTTCTGTTTTACAAGGAAATGATATATCTGCCTGAGGACTCTGACTTTGTTCAGGTTATTCTAAAGCAAAACCATGATTTTGGGCATGAGGGATTTTACAAAACAGTGACGCGTATCAAGGAATGTTTTTTCATTGGTAGCACATGAAGGCAAGAGTGAAGGAGTGGATTCGCCAATGTGATATTTGTCAGAGAAACAAGTATGACCAATATAGTCACCAAGTGGGTTATTGCAACCTTTGCCTTCCAACCCGAGTATGGTCAGACATTTCAATGGATTTTTAGTGGGGCTTCCAAGGTCCCAAGGGAAATCCGTCCTCTTGGTGGTGGTGGATAGATGATCCAAATATGGCCATTTCTTGCCCATGGCTCATCCGTACAAAGCAGAAACGGTGGCCCAATTGTTTTTCGAGCAAATCTTTCGCCTCCATGGAATGTCGCAGTTAATCGTTTGTGATCGAGACCCCACTTTCACCAGTCATTTTTGGACGGAGTTGTTCCATCTCCAAGGTACCAGCTTTAATTTTTCGTCCGCTTACCACCCTTAGAGCGATGGCCAAACAGAAGTTGTAAATAGGACCATTGAGATGTATTTGCGGTGTCTCACGGGGGCTAAGCCTAAGGACTGGGTACGTTGGATACCTTGGGCTGAATATTGTTATAATACCAGTTGGCATTCCGCCACTAAGACCACCCCGTTTGAAGCAGTTTATGGAAGAACCCCTTCTAACCTTTTGAGTTATGTCCCGGGAATGGCTAAGACAACAGAGGTCGAGGAGACTTTGCATGCGCGAGACCAGGTTATAGAACTGCTGCACACCAATCTGGCTGCTGCCCAAAACCGCATGAAACAGGTTTATGACAAGAAACACACTGACAGGGAGTTTGAGGTGGGAGATTGGGTATATCTCTGGCTACAAAACTATCGGCAACGCTCGGTACTACACCGTAAGAACCATAAGCTTTCGCCTCGGTACTTCCTTATCGAGTGCTCGAAAGAATTAGGGTCGCGGCATATCGACTGGAGCTGCCTCCGGGAAGTAGGGTGCACCCTGTGTTCCATGTTTCTCTACTCAGGAAGAAAGTGGGGGATCAAGCAGTAGGAACTGACCGACCTCTACACTGGGAGCTCACTTTAGCACAGGAACCCGCGGAAATTTTAGCCACTCGAATGATGGCTGACAGAGAAGAACTGCTGATCCGCTGGAAAGGAAGCACCAAAGCAGAGGCTTCATGGGAAACAAAGGAAATGGTGCAGGTTCACTATCCCAATTTTCCCATTCTTGAGGACAAGGAATTTCTTCGGAGAGGGAGGCAATGTTAAGGGTCCTATAGTGGCCAAGGGTGGTTTAGTCTTTTTGTTATTTGTTCTTTAGTCATTTCCTTTTCTTTCCTAGTTACAGATTCGCCTGAGAGGGGGTGAAGTCCCAATTGTTGCTATTTCTATTTTCCATTACACATCCCTAGAAACGGTTATAACCAAATTAGGATTCCAATTTGGGAAGGAGAGTCTGTCAGCCTATAAAGGCTTGTAAGAAGATCGGATGGGTTATGCAATACCAATTTCATTCTCTTTG